AGAGAGAGAGAGAGAGAGAGAGAGAGAGAGAGAGAGAGAGAGAGAGAGAGAGAAAGAGAGAGAATAACTTGAAAAAAATAATGATATTAATTTGGGGACTACAGAACATTGCAATGAGAATAAAAGTGCCTTAGTAGACTGCAGGCATATTCAAAGTAATGGAAGCAAGGAGATGGTTAGCAGCCAAGGGAGAATATTTACATAATCTGCTTAGTGACAAAGCTCATTGGTCCTGGAGACCAGAGGGAGGAGTTAGCACCAGCTCATTGGCGGAGGTGCTGTTGCTGGGCAGCATGGAGAGTAGTTTGTCTGAACTATCACAGTCTTAAAGAGTGTTAAAAATATATTTTATTCCAGTAATTTATGGATGCAAGCAAGCTGTGCAAAGCATGGGGTGCATGTAGGACAACAATAATTCCTAGTGGGGCTTTAAATAGTCTCTGAGAAAATGCTTATCTCAGGCAGACAGGCACTGTCCCCCCTGCCACCCCCACTGGCTACTTCCTGGCTTTAATTTTGTTTAGGCTCAACAAGAACAATGTCATCTTATCCTTCCCCAAGACAAGGGGTCGAGGAGGTGCCCCTGCCCCTGAGGACCCAAGTCCCCTCGCGTTACATTGGCAGGTGCTGTTGGATTCATGACTATTGCTACGGCAGGCTGGAGAAGGAAGGCTGTGACATCCGGTCACAGTACTACACATACAGAGTCACACGGGGCCTGGTCACCTGCGGTAAGATTGGCCTTCCAGCTCAGGCCTGCCTCGGAGGTCTGCTGCCGGTATCCCTGGGGGGATAGACCTGAGGACAAAAGAGGGCCAGGATGGTCACAGCCATATCTGACCTTTGGGAATGGGCTGGCGTATGTTAGACTGAACGCTTGCTGGGTGCAAATGCTTCCCACACATCCCTTTACTGCCCTGCCCAAATAACCTATAGCATAGGTTGAGTCTCCCCCATTTCACACATGGGGAAAACAAAGCCCAAAGCCTGCCGGTGAGCGGCAGGATTCCAGCCCAGGTCATCATCTGAGTTCCAAGCTAAGCCTGGAACTCAAGGCATCGCATCTTGTCTAAGAGAATTAGTTCCTCCTGAGCTGAGGCCATTTCCATCTTCAGACTGGGAGCCCCCAGGGGCAGGGGTCTGTTTCCTGCATCAGACTAAAGCTCTCTGGGCCAGGAGCTGTGTGTCTTCCAAGACTAAAACCTCATCCCGAGCAGCAGCCCTTCTGTGCATCCCCTATCAGATGAAGAATTCCCTCAGGTTAGGAGCTGTGCCTCATTTATCAGCTGAGGAGCTGCCTAGAACAGTAACTGGATGGGGCATCTGCACAGGCTTGGGTCTGCAGAGACTTGACTCTGATTGAGCACGTCAAGGCGGGCAGAGGGCATCCTTCTCAACCCCTTCTGCATCTGCCATCCCTTTTGCAGAAATTGGGTCTTTGTGCCCCATGCAGCTCTGTTTCTGCGACCAGAAGCTTGTCTACTGCCTGAAGAGAAACCTGCGGACCTACAGCCCTCAATACCAGTATTTCCCCAACATCTTCTGCTAATAATCGCCTTCACTGGGACCTGATGCACAGTGCTTCCATGGCAACCAGGGCCATCCCCTACTTCAGCACAGGGGTCCCACTCTGCTGAGACCTCATTCTTTCTCCGAGTTCCATCGGCCTAGGAGGAGCCCCACAGCCACACGTAACCCTCTGGAAAGTTCCAAGAAAATCACTCTGGCCTAGGACTTGGCAAGGTGCCAGGACTCTGGGACTCCACTTGTCTGCTTGGCCCCTCAGGAACGAGGGACGCATTTCATTTTCAGTTTTGGCAATGAGATTATCACTACTCCCCTCCAGGGAATTTTCACTCAAGCAGAAGCAAAATTGACTCCATAAATCTGCCATAGAGATATTAAATAAAATGTTTTCTCAAGGCTAATAAAAACCACACAGCCACTTTCTCTGCTAGGGGGGTTTACCCAGGGCCCTTTCTGTACCATTAAACCCTGAGCCCAAAGTTATTTGCAGTTGCTCAGGCAGAAGGACTGTGAGCAGCAGAGGTAGGATGTGGGTGATGAGTTTCAGGGGTCCTCCAAGCCAAGCAGTGGGTCTGTCTCTTCCTCAGGAAGATGCAGGGAAGGTAACTGGAAGTCCTGATGGCTGGGGCTCCAGGCCAGAGAGGGCAGCATCAAACCCCAGTGGCTTCTTCTGTGGTGTGGTCTGGGCTCTGTCACTGAACTGCTCTGACAGTTGATCTCTTTGGAAAATCAATCACTGTGTTCCTCACAAGGTAAAACACGACTCCAAACACCCACTTTGATGTGGATCCAGGGGATGCTGAGGCTCTGGGGTTTCATCATATAAGATTAAAAAAAAAAAAAAAAACAACTAGGGTTCAACTATGGTGTTTACTTTTACCAAATAAGGACACTTAGATTCCCAACTCATCTATCAACCTGCAAAAGAAACGGCGTTCGGGTACCAAGACGACAGGCAGAAAGGTCATATTCTGAAACAAAAGAAAATCCTTTCCAAGAAAGGATGTTTGGCTTCTTAGCACTGACATACCTGAAAATAACCCCCTGGATAAACAAGATCTGTACTTAAAAGCCTTCCATATCGAATATATCCTAAATAAAATTTAATTATGAGATTACCCGGAATATACTAGTGTTTTGATGTAGATTCGGTGCTATATTTAACAGCACAATATAAAACGGAGCTCCGATGCCCAATTTCTCATTAAATTTTTCAAAATCAAAGCCATTTCCCAGATCCAGTTTTGAGAGCCAGTTTTCTCCAATTGCAGCATTGGGAGGCTGTGGGAAGAGGCTCCCGGGGAAGCTTCTCCCTCCTCCCGTCAGGGTCCAGAGTCAGGTAGGGTGGGGTGGTGCTGGTACCTGCCCTGTCATCGGATCCCAGCTCAGAGCCTGTATCCAGGCAGCTCAGACCAGCAGGGGGTGCTGTGAGGTTATGAGAGAAACATTATAGTCTGACTAATCAAAACACACAGCTGTGGTTGAGTTGAGTAACTAGGGGTCAGAAAAATGAGGAGACTCCCTAAGTCAGAGAGCACATCAACAGGAATAGTCATACTAGACCTCAGGTCCAGGCCGTACTAAACCCTGGGCCCTGCCTATTAACCCGCAGTGGGTGCAACTCCAGTTAATGACAGAAGAAAATGGAAGTTCAGGGGCTCACCCACCTTGGGCATTCTCTCTGGATTCTAGCCAAGAACCAGCTTCATTTCTTCTCTATCCTTATTGCCTGTTTGAATCCCAGAGACTGTCCTTGGGCAGTCAGTCTGTACAGGGCTCCTGGCTACGTCCTCACTGGAGGAAACCCGGGAGAGCCCATCCTTACAGCTGTGAAGAGCACCTCTGGGAAAACACCACTGGACTGTTCAATTCATGAATCCCTGGCCAGCTGGAGCACATCAGAGACCTCAAAGCTTCTCTTGAGAGAAACACTGCATGCGCTTCCTTAGACAGATCTTTGTATACAAGAAGGCAGAGTATGTCAGCACACACTGTGGACAGCCTGCCTTGTAACTCTAGTTCTTTGGCTTGTGTCTCAACTAGGTTTCAGATTCAAATGTGACTGTGCACCCTATAAATATAGGCTGTGCAAGCATGTGTAGATTGGTGGGGGGACAGGGTGCTCGTGGCTGTCCTCACACTAAGAGTCAAACAGGAAGCCTGCTGGTGGAGACAAGGCAGAGAGAACAAAGCTGATGCGGTAGCCAGTGTTCTGGTCCCTCCTCTATGCCCCGTAATACCGAGATGTCACCAGCTGTCCTTTGAGGCAGGTGTCCTCATCCTGACTGCAGGATCCCAGGGACACTCAGGGAGCTAAAGTGCCTTGCTTGAGGCCACACAGGTAATAAGGAAAACAGGTTGGAAGGAAGTAGCAGGCTCTCCGATTTCAAAGCTGTGTTCCTAGGAGGTGGGACAGATGGCATCTACGAGGAAGCTGGGAAACTGGGCCAGGTCTTGAGACAGACACAGAGGGAAAACACATTTGTGTTGTTCATGATGGGTGTGGTGAGTTCTGATGGTGTAAGTAGCTTAAGCTCCAGCTCCCAGAATCCCTTTCTCCGTAAAGTTCTGGTTTATTGGAACCAGCGAGGTGCATGTATAAGAGTTGGGAGGCAGGAGGGAAGTACAGCTGGAGGGTTTTTTTGCACTTGGAAGGTCAGGGCCAGGCAGGTCTGTTTGCAGCTGGGACATGCTGTCACAAGCTGGCTTGCCTTGCTGGTGCGGTGCGAGCCTGCTGGGTCTCTTTCTTTGGCTTTTCTGAATGTTGGGCCTGGTGTGCGCTTGTTTCTTAGGTGAGAGAGCCAGCTCCTCCAGCCAAGCTGGAGGTGGAAGGTGTGGAGGCCCACGTGACTCGGTCTGTCCCCTGGGTACCACCTGTCTTTGTGGGTTCCCTTTTCTCCTTGCTCCCTACCCTTTGTTGCATCCACCTGCCTTTCCCAGCTGCCTGCCCTAACTTCTGGCTGCAGAGAAACCACTCCATACATGTTAAGGCAGCTCTCCCACTTGCCCAACTTCAATCCTTACATCATCATGTTGCAATAGACATGGCTCCTGCCTCTGCCGGTGTCCCCTGATGACACAGGATTTGTGTTGAATATAGTTCCCAATAAACAAAGCCTAAAGATCAGGCTCTCTGCCTTGAATCTCTCTGAGTGAGCTGGGCTTGGCTTTCTTATCTGATTAAAGACATTAATGGCTGGCCTTTAGTGGCAAAGGAGACAATGGCTGTCCATGGGCTGCTAAAAGACAGTTACTTAACCCATTACCTGTACTCATCTCTACACAAGGGCTTTGCCTCTGCTGGTTCTGGCTGACCAGGTAGTTGATGCCACAAAGCATTTCAGTGGAAGTAAAAGGTAATGTGGGGTTGGAGAACTTAGAAGGAGGAAACAATGAGCTCAAGGGTTTCACTTCTCACTTAAGATCTGCCTAAGGGACATGAAGGCTTCCTTGCCTGCCTGGCCAGAGGATGGAGGCTGATAGAGGAGGACCTTGGAGGAATGCTCTCACGGCAGTGCAGGCGTATAATCCCAGTACTTGGGAGACTGAGGCAAGAGCACCAAGAGCTCTAGGCCAGCTGCTCTTAATTAATCAACCAATCAATCAATTAGTTAATTAAGCTTTCAATCACAGTGGCTGCTCCAGAAGTGGCTTTGCTGTTAGAACAAATCAACACATTCCCTTGTCCGCTGCTTTGCAACTGTGCACCCACAGGGTGACTTGTCCTCTGTCGCTGTTAGTCAAAGCATTAGAAGCCCTTGCTTCCAGCTTTTAGGGCCCAAGAGCCTCTTCCTCTTTCCAGATGTCCAGCGAGATCAGCTCTCCGACCTGATCATGGTCCGGTCCACAGGAACCTCAATCATCTCTCCACCCACAGGATATCACATCTCCCAAAGTGCAGGGGCTTGCTGCCTCTGCAGCAGCATTACTAGGGGGCCTTGGGCCTGGGGGATGTGGAGAAGACTCTTGCAAAGGAAGAAAAGAGCCGGCATCTGGCTGTTCCTTTCACTGTCATGGCCTTTCAGAGACTTGTGGCTCATCTGGTTGTATTGTTTCAACCTCTGACCTAACTGGCCCCCAGATGAATGGGATGGATAAATGACACACAAACTTCTCTGCCACTTGGGCCACATGACCCAGAAGGTCCAATGATGCTTGAAATGTATGCAGCTAGAAGCGCTCCCTCCATGGGGCCCTTGACAGGCCTCTGGCTAATGCATAGGAGGCAGATCCTTGGGGTTTGGGAGCAAACCATGGAGTCAGCTGCGGAGAACTGGCCCCCTTCCCAGAAATGTGTCTGGCTTGGTGACTGGACTGACCTTGGGGGATCAAGTTGTGATGAGATCTGTGTTGCTTAGCATGACCCGGGTGCTCATGGTCTTCCACCACCCCAGTATAAAGTTGGACCCACACAGCAGCAATTCCACACCCAAATGAATTTGAGCTTGAACTGGAACTGGTCTTGAAGGTAGAAGCCACTTGGGTGAACAAGGGGACCAGAGGCCATGAGCTTCACACCTGCTGTGTTCCTTCCTCCTCCTCCTTCACCTATGCATATGACTTCATGGGCAAGCTCCCTGGAACAACTGACTGGGCAAGATGACCCAGACTTGTCTTGAAGGCAAGTGCCTGCACTCCCTGCAAGTTAATGGCTATAGCATTATAATCCAAACCCCTGTGGGGACCCAGCTTTTTACATAAAGTGAGTTGATGTAGTTAATCTTATATCTCACAGCTTAAATTAGAAGTTACCCAAAGGTGACTGTGGTGATTAGAATCATGCTAGAATAGAAATTAACATCACTTAATGATGGATGAAAGGACCGTCTATCTTCATGGCTGTAGTGTTTCTGATTATGTAAGGAATAACCGCATCATCTCAGGCAGAAAGATGATCTGGGTATTTATTTGGAAGTTACTGTTGAAAAAGTGTATAGGGAAGTTGAGTCAAGAGGTAGGGCATCATGAGTTTGTGTCATGGCTCTTAGCTAAGCTGAAACTACATTTCCCAGAATTCCCATTCCTACACTGTTCTAGTGTTAGTACAGGTCTCAAGAGGGGCTTTGAGTAAGTGACAGAAATGGATGAAGAATATCATGAAGTTGCAGCTGAGGCATATTGGCCTTACCTACTGGTGGACAATTCAGCTAGTCTGGGAGTTTGACCTCTCTAGGATAGTCTAGACCTGGTTGGGGTCACTCTTTGGCCTCCCTGTCACTGGTGCTTCCCAAGCTCTGGGTTTCTTGTGCAAGGAGAGGGGCTGGCACTTTCCTAGACATCACATTTGGTGGCATCTTCAGGGGCTGAGGGTCATTAGCCCATTAGAAAGACTCATTCTGCTCTTAACCTAACCCAGTGACAAGCCCCTCCCAGGATGGTGCTGGGGTCTCTTTTCCTACTGGCAATGTAGTTTCC